CAAACACAGAGACCCCCCAAAATCCCAGAGACCCCCCAAAATCCCAGAGACCTCCCAAACCCACCGGTCTGTCCCTGGGCCACCTCCAGCTCTCGCATCTTGGCCAATCGCAGCCTGGGGGGGGATTTGGGGTCACATTTGGGGTCACATTTGGGGGGTCAGATTTGGGGTGCCCACCCAGGCCCCAAACCCACCGGTCTGTCCCTGGGCCACCTCCAGCTCTCGCATCTTGGCCAATCGCAGCCTGGGGGGGGATTTGGGGTCACATTTGGGGTCAGATTTGGGGGGTCAGATTTGGGGTGCCCACCCAGGGCCCCCCCCCCGGGGTCTCACAGGGTGACGATGTCGGCGTTGGCCAAGTCCATGGCGATGGTCAGGGGGTCCCTCCCGTCCGCGTCCACCGCGTTGACGTCGGCCCCCCGCTTCAGGAACAGGCAGGCCAGGCTGGAATTTGGGGAGGGGGACATCGAGGGGACATTTTGGGGACATTTTGGGGACATTTTTGTCAGGGACGACACAGGGATTCAAGGGGACACAGCAAGGTTGGGTTACCCATCCAGGCTCTGACCAGGGCAGACCCTGCTTAGCTTCCCATGTGCAAAACTGTGCTAGAGACCCCCAAAAATGGGGAGATTTTGAGAGATTTGGGGTGGTTTTGCACCCTCAAAAGGGAAAAGGGAGGCCCTCAAGGGAAGAGAGACCCCAGTAATGGAATACAGACCCCCAAAAATGAAATAGGGATCCTCTAAAAAATACAGACCCCTAATAATAGAAGGGAAACCCCCTAAAGGGAAAAGGAGCAGCCCAAGGGAACAGGGACTCTCCCCAAAGGTATTTAGGCACTGCCCCCAAGCAGCAGCACCCCAAAATCAGAACAGGGACCCCCACAAAAGGCAACAAGAACCCCTAAAGAGCAGCAGGACCCCAAAAGGAAATAAACCACCCTCCAAAAAAATGTGGGTGAACCCTCTTCAAACAACCCAGCTCAGGTCACCCATCCAGGCCCTGACCAGGGCAGACCCTGCTTAGCTTCGCACACATCTGCTTTAGGGGTGAGCAACGCCACCATTCACCAAATGGGGGTGAATTCAGAGCCCCCTCCCAGTCCCTCCCAGTTGCTCCCAGTACACACCCGGTGTGTCCCAGCATGGTGGCGTGGTGCAGCGGTCCCCGGCCGCGGCTGTCGCTCTGGTTGACGCTGGCCCCGTTCTGCAGCAGGAACTCGCAGGCCAGCAGGGAATTCTCGGGGAAAGGGGGGACGGGCTCAGGGACCCCTCCCCAAAACAGGAACACCCTCCCAGTGCTCCCAGTTACCATAAGCAGGGCATGCAGAAGTGGGGTGCTGCCCTAACCTCC